TCCAGCAGTTTGAGGACGCCGGATCGGATGAGGAAGATATCTGGGATGAGAAGGACGTCACATTCGCACCGGAAGCTCAGAGACGTCCCAGGTATTGTAATCCTTGGAACTCATCGAAAAGGGTTTTTCATCATGCCAGTGTTTTGATTCTCCACGGCTTTCTTCCTATGCAGGAGCTCAGGAAGTACAGATAGCGAGGAGAGTACAGACTCTGAAGAGGAGGATGGGAAGCGAGACCCATTCGAATCCACCAACGCCACCTCTGACGACAGAATGGAAGTGGACTCTGGGGATGGTGAGAATAGAAATGATCAGCTGCCGTATCTATCGCCGTTTAGTCTTCAGCTGAAGGTCAAGGATCACACATCCTTGTTCTGTGTCTTGCTTCGTTTCAGGACCGGTATGGATGGCAAATTTTGATGACATGCCTATGGACACGGGCAGCTCCACGGCTCCCAGCGCACCTGTCTCAACCTCACCGGCTGCAGTGCCCGAACCTGCGGGCTGGAACTCTCCAAACACCGCTGCAGATGCAGAGAGGAGTTGGGCTGACTTCTCCAGCTTCACACCCGTCAGGTACATTCACATGATGCGCAAGTGCGTGTTTAAAATGCACTGATTGTGCTTAAACACAAAACCTGTACGGTCATGTAAACGGTCAAGTGTCCATATTTTTTTTTTGCATTATAAACATTGAAAAGTATTTGGGTATTTAACAGTCTTGTACATTGATTGTAAATGGCTTTCTTTTCTCCCCCCTCTCTCTCTCTCTCTCTCCATAAATAGAAAATATAGAATTAATTGTGTATAAGACAAACACACACACATTGCATTTATTTTAATAGGCTTGTTTTAAGTTCACTTAAAGTGTATTTTTCAAAATATTTTTATTAAATAAAAATTGTCACAAATTTTACTGTAATGTTAACTAGCTATATTTTCTCATTTAAAAATCTGTTTAATAGATGAATTAGTATCAGTAAAAGTAAAAATGTAAAAAGTAAAAGTGGAAAATTCATTAGATGTTAATTTTTCTCCTTTATTTAGCCCCAAGGATCCTTTGAGGAGCAATTCCCCTGTAGCCATGGAGACCAGCATAGAAACGGTGGACCCTCTGGGAGTCAACGCGCCCATGCAGCAAGAAAGTAAGAATAGACCCTCTTACTATTCCTTCTGTCTATTCGTCAACACGCAGTGCTTAGAATAAAACAATCATGTTGTTTAGACACAGAGGAGTGGCTTCCCAATGAGACCACCCCGACTTCCCCTAGAGGGAATGTAGGGGATGGCTTGGACCCCGAGGAAGAGCCTGCCAGTGACCGCATCACAGAAACGGTCACCAACGGCTCTATGAAGGAGACAGTCAGCCTTACTGTAGACGCCAAAACTGAAACTGCTGTTTTCAAGAGGTGAGTCCTGCAGGTTTCACACACAGTGCCTCGCATCACTTCCTCTTCTCCCCTTTTGAGACACAAGCTTCACTTCACTCTGCATGTAGACCTGATCTTTCCTTGTCACGTATCCTCCTCCTCTTCCTCCTGCACCTAGAGCCAGCCAGGCCCTGACCGCCCACCGTGTCTCTTTTTAACGGGGGCTGTTAAGATGCAGAGCTTTGTAACATCTGTTTTGTCTGTTTGAGAGCACAAAAAAAGAACAATCTGTCCTTCTTGAACTGCAACTCTTACAACATGAGCTTCCTCTCTCTCTTTGGCGTGTGTGTGGCTTCAGAGTGTTGAAATCGTATCGGTATGTACAGCCAATCGGGGCGTGTCTTGTTTAGTTTGGTTTTCCCCATGTCAGCCACTGCGTTTTGATTTGTAACCATGTTTTGTTTGTTTGTATGTTTGTTTGTTTTCTTTTAAACTGTAATGTATCCATCACCATTTGCATGTTAATATCAGATGTACTGGATGTTAACGGCATGTAATGCCCCATGGATCCTTAAATGTAGCTCATTCTGATCCCAAAAGTTTTAAGCCCATATGTTTCCCAGTCTTTCCAACACCGAAGGTGAAGATTTATGGATCCCTTCTCATCCTCTGCTGCGGTTTGGTCCCATGGCTCTTTCACAGGGCTAAATGACTTTAGTGCGAGCTGGCCCTTTTAAACCCGGGCTGTGTGAGAACTCTTAATTTGTGTAAATCAGTCTGATAAAGGAGGATGCATCTCTGTAGACCTTCCCTGGTCGAAAAATCCACCATGTTCTTCCTGGCATGAGACTTTAGAGGAGGTTATAATTAATTAAATGACTGTTTGGCCTGATGACACCCTAAAGGTAAAGATGGCTGGCATGTGATCACTTTGTAAAATTTACACCACCATTTCACACTCGCATACTAAACAAGCTCCTCGTCTAATAAACCAGTTGTTGTGTGGTTCATTCTCTCCCGTCTCTGTACGTCGTTATGCTCGCATCTTACTTGTCCACCAATCCCCATTTCAGAACATTTTCCGTTTTGCCCCATTGCTTTTAATGTGGTCCGTTCCATTCTGCATGTTTGTCCAGGGATTTAAAATGGGGGTTTTGTTCTTTAAAGGAGTGTCAATGAGCGCTCTTTAAAACGCTGTCCTCTCTGATCGTCCTGTAGCGAAGAAGAGAAACGATCTACCTCTGATGACGCATCTGCAAAGTTGTTTGTTGCAGAGAGTGGGGAAGTGGAGAAAAGCAGTTGTCCTCCTAGCAACTGTCAGAAACCAGGGTAAGAGTCTTTTATTTATTAAGTCAAAGTATTAATAAAATAAATCATTTTCTTTTAGTAGTGTTTAGGGAACAGATTTGTTATTGTTAACAGAAACTGATAAAAAAAAAAATGTGTTAATTGAAATATTAATTTGATTATTTTATCTATCAATAGTGTGCTGTTCTTTCAAAATAATTATATCTCATCTCAGCAGATGTTTGGGATTTTGAGGTTATTGCCAAAAGTACTAGCTCCCTCTTATTTCCTGAATCTTCTGGCAGTCTTGTTGATGGATGAATATATTTGTTTAAATATTTAAATTATATAGTACATATTTCATATGTATAATACTTTACTTAATTTCAGATATCATGCAGATATAATCTAAATACTGAAAATTCATCACCACTGTCATTTTTTTCTTCAGTCTAAAGCACTTAGAAGAGAAAGCAAAAGCCACTTGCAAAGCTCTAAATGGTCCTCTTGAGGATGCGGCTGCTATGGACGAAGCCAAGTGAGTTCTGTGCCCTCCACCTTTTCCCATTTCCTCTAGTTTTGTGTTGCATCCACCGGTGACATCAAGCCCCCCTCCCCTTTTCTCAACTAGATCAGAGCAGTGCACGGCCAACCCCGAGGCAGCAGTGAACGGTCCGGCATGATGAGAGTAGCGCTGTCAGTCAGCTCCTGCCACGAGCACACCCCTCCTCCAGGACCACCCGGAGAGGCCAGTGCCAGACTGGAGCCCCCCAGAAACCACCACCGCTGCTGCTGTCTCTTACTCCAGCACTGCACTGATGCCACCAGATCAGGACCAGCAATATTCATATTAGACAGTTGTACAGAAAATTTGAACTGTTGTGAAGAGAAACATACTCTGATTTTTTTTTGTTTTTTTTTGCATTCATTTATATACTATTGTTCTTATGAGGTGATTGTCTGACATCTTGCCACTTAAAAGTGAATAGTAATGTTGCTATAGGTAAAAATGATTATGAATAAAAAAATATTTTATAAAAGACAAATGTATACAGAAAGAGAGGATTGATAAAACCGAAATATACTGATTGGAACATTAATGTGTGACCAAAACATAAGCTGTCTTTTTGATAGGATTTTCCTCTTGCACACAAATCTGCTATCTAATTTCCAAGTAAAAGCAACAGCTACCACAGAAATCTTAAATTGGCAACTTATGTCGGCCTGTTTTATTTTTAAGTTTATTAGGGGACACTGATTTGAGATATTCAGAAATGAATATTTGTAAATGTTCCTTGTATCCTTTCAACATGAGAAAGATTTGGACAAAAGAAACACTTTTTGGTATAGTTTTTAACTTAATTTATTTTTAAAGAGATGGTTTGTTAGAGACTCGCCCCCTTGATGAAATTCAAATCTGGAGTGAATGCACAGATGGGTCTCCATTTGCATGTAGCTAGTAAGAGTGATTCTTACCTTCGGGCCTGCATTCAGTACAGCCTAACTTTTATAATTGTTGTCCTCTCCAAACAAGTCAACCTTTCTACCTGAAGAGTGATGGGAATGCAGCATATTCCTGGTAATGCTACAATGATCATGCATCGACTTTTTTCTTTTTGTAATAAAACGCTATCTGTGCCAGCAAGAAGGAAAAGGTTTTGTCTGTGAATCCAATATACATTTCTTAATGAGAATCGATCATGCTGGTGATCTGGCCAAGGCCTGACCTAAGCTACTTGAATCCAGGTCTGTTGTGGGCATCAGTATGGTGGAATGATAATCTGCTGTCTGCTCTTGTCTATCAGCTGGCTGACTCAGTTTCTATTTAGGCCTGATTTGTCAGGGAGGCTTCAAAATGGATAATTACAAAAGTCCTTTGCATTGTTTGCTGGGTGAAGAGACTAAACAGCATGACCATTTATGAACTTGAGTGTTTGCAGATCAGTGTACAGTGCATTTTTGCTTTGAAGCCAACAGGTGGCAGTAAAGTCATGGCAAAATAGTGCGAGTACTTGGAAAAGGGCTTTCAATTCTCCCAATTTCATAACTTTAGGATTTTTTAAGGTTGTACATAAGTTCTGTAAAATCGAGAACAGTCAGTAATATACCGAGTACTGGACATCATTATTTAAAACAACAGTCATTTTTAACTCACAGTTGATGTTCCAAACTCGCAAATATTTTAGATGAAATGTCCCTTAAAGCAGTGGTTCCCAACCCTGGTCCTGGAGGCACCCCAACACTGCACGTTTTGAATGTCTCCTTAACCAAACTCACCTGATTCAGGTCATCAGCTCATTAGTAGAGACTCCCAGACCTGAAATTGGTGTGTCAGAGAAAGGAGACATGCAAAATGTGCAGTGTTGGGGTGCCTCCAGGACCAGGGTTGGGAACCACTGCCTTAAAGAATCTGCTATGAAGGACTTTCACATCCCGTTTTGGCGCCTCAAATATTTCCCCTACGTCAGATTCAGGTTCGATGAAAACGGAGTGGTGAGAGATAGACTTACAGTCTTACACTGACACGCACTGTGTAGAAGTCTTGAGTAGTTTTCCATTTAAAACCGTTTCGACAGCTAAACAAGTATGGTGTGAAACAACATTGCAATCCATGAACGCACTGTCACTGAATCTCTCGCAGCCTCGTTCTCATTCCTGGCTGGCGCTATGAACATGAGGAATTTGTTATTTTCAGTGGTAGTAACAAACTGTCGGTAGCTACTACTGCTGACTAAACAAGGTTTTAGGTCGTGAATGATAAATCAGCACACGACATCACCTCCCATTACAATCCGTCGTTTACAGTGTTGATTATAATGGGTGCGATTTAGTTCCGATACTGCATTTTAGATCAGTCAAATCAGGTTTGTTGGTCTCATCTGGTCTGACTAGTTATGCTGTGAATTTGTCATTAGTTTTTCAGTTTTGCTCTCGGTCTCATCAGCTCATTACTTGAGGCACCATGAGCCAATGGAGCGAGTAGAGCCGTAGCCAGCTGTGAGGACACCGAGGTCCGGTGTAGTGCCGACATTTTTCATGTTCCAAAATAAAATGTGTTCTCTAAATGACTAATCTGCTGTTTAAAGCTCCTCGTATGAGTGTCTGCATGTATAATTAAGTTTAGACAGTTTGCAAGAATATTTAATGCCCGTGATACTATAAACAGGATATCACATTCGGTAAGGCAAAAACATCATAATATTATCTGTGAGAAACTTTATCAAAGCAATAGCATATGACACTAGTACAGAGATCTGTATAACAAGTAGTTACAGAATGAAAAATAATGCAATACAAAAAAATAATAATAATGCAAACGGCCATGAAGAAGTCTATGCTATTTAGTTGAGTAGGCCTACACTGTAAAAAATGACCGTGAATTTAACGGTAAAAGACTGTAAAAATGCTACAGTAAAAACCTGTTAAATGGTTAACGGTAAATTCCCCTACTATATACGGTGAAAAACTGTATTGGACATTACATGTATTGGACATAAATTTTACGGTAGTATACCGTTTTTGGAAGTGAAAAAAAACGTATAATTTACAGTGAATAACCGCAAATTGACATTCCCAGAATTCCCTGAATTGCATTTCAAATTTGATGTTTTTTTTTGTTGAAATAACTATGTTTCTTCTTAGTTTTTTCTTATCAGTTTTGTATATTAGGGTTGTGTGTTACACCTAATGTTGTTAAATTAATGTTTATTGCATTATTTCAGTTTCATGTGTGTTACCATGATGGTGTTTGGTGTTTGTGTGAATGACACTGTGCACATTCTATATATGTTATTATTTAAAAGCTGCTTGTGATGGGCTTTGGTTCATCATGTCATCATGTGACTTTCTCATCACCTCCTGCATTTGGTGGTTATCAGTGTATTACAAAAATACAAAACAGATTTCAGTACTTCAATAGGTTGGTATATTAACATTATATCAGTTAATGAAATTACGGTATTTAACTGTAAACCGTAAAACCTAATTACGTAAAATTTTACGGAATTTTTTTTACAGTGTGGGTCTGTAATTTGCCAGTTCATCTACTGTGCTGCTGTATTTTTTACAGGAATTCTCTGCGTTTTCCTGTAAAAACAACAGGCTTTTTTTTTACAGTGTATGGTAAAAAGGTTTACAATAACGTATTGCAAGTTATTTAATAAATGTAAGAAAAATAAGGAAAGAGGGCTAAGACAAAACTTAAATAAGGAACTGGATAAGGCGGAAAAAAGCATAGAGAACATAAAAGAAATAGAAGGTAGGCTGAAGGAAATGGAAGAGGAGAAGTATGAAGCTGCAAGATTAAGAAGCAAAGCAAAATATACAGTGGAGGGGGAGAAGTGCACAAAGTTTTCTTTGATCTAGAGAAAAGCAGAGGAAAAGCAGAAATGATTAAAGAAATAAGGGGCAAAAATGGGATAATAGTAGAAGAAAATGAGGACATTTTGAAAGAAATAAAATCATACTATGAGGACTTATTCTGTACAGAGGGGGTAAAAGAAGGAGAAAAAGTGGAATTACTGAAGCAAATAAAAGCAAGAGAAGGAGAAGTGGATAAAAAAGAGTGTGAGGATGAAGAAAGAGAAGAAGAAATAAAAAGAGCAATAAGTGGATTAAACAAAAGAAAAAGTCCGGGGATAGGTGGGTTGGGGAGTGAGTTTTACATTGTTTTTAAAGATTTTTTAACCAGTATCTTAAAAGAAGTATTTGATGAGATTTTTAGGAAAGGTGAGATGAACCAAAGGATGGGAATGGGATTAATGAAGCTGATATATAAAAGGAAAGGAGACAAAGTGGAGTTAAAGAATTATAGGCCTATAACAATGCTTAACACCGATCTGAAGATTTTATCAAAAGTTTTAGCTAACAGATTAAAAGAAGTGATGCCCAGTATAATCGAAACAAACCAAGCATACAGTATTAAAGGAAGAGACATTGCGGATACAACAATGAGCATAAAAGATACGATACGATATATTACTGAAAAGAAGAAAGATGGTTTTATAATCAGTTTGGACTTTGAGAAGGCTTTTGACAGGGTAGAGCATGATTTTTTATTCGGGGTTCTAAAGAGTTTTGGTTTTGGAGGGAATTTTATTAAATGGGTTAAGATTTTATATAAAGGTGCTTTAACGAGAGTAAAATGTAATGGGTTTTTAACAGAGTGTTTTAAATTAACGAGATCAATTAGACAGGGTTGCCCGTTGTCGGCACTTTTATATGCTTTAGTTGCAGAACCACTGGGATTAACGGTAAAACAGGAGGGGAGAATAAAAGGGATAGGCATAGAGGGAGGAGAGAATAAAATATTTCAATACGCTGATGATACTACGCTAATGCTTCAAGATCTGGCGAGTGTAGGGGAAGCAATGAAAATAGTACAAAACTTTTGCAGGGGATCAGGGGCTAAAGTGAATGAGGATAAAACGGTATACATGAGATTTGGGGGAACTGAGGTTTTAACTGGGCACTTTAATTTTAAGGAAATGAATGAAATAAAGATTTTAGGCGTTTTAATGGGGAAGGATGAAACGAAAGCAGAAGGAACTATGTGGGAGGAGATTTTAGGAGGGATCGAGAGAAGGTTGAATTTTTGGAGATTAATGTCCTTAACTTTGAAGGGGAGGGTTTTAATTGTGAATGTTTTAATGGTTTCTAAGTTATGGCATATTTTATATGTGGCATCAATGCCGTTGTGGACAGAAAAAAGGCTGAAAAAATGTTTTTTAGATTTTTTATGGGACGGGAAGCCGCCGAGAATAGCATATAACACTTTAATAGGAGCAGTGGGGAAGGAGGGACTAGGGCTAATGGATGTGGAGCAAAGAAAGAACAGTTTAAGAGTCAAAATGATAAGCAAATATCTGGACGAAGGAAACAAGGCGGCATGGAAAAGAACAATGGAATATTTTTTAAGTAAATGTGGTAATTTTAATCTGGGGGATAACGTTTTATGGATGAGAGTGAAAAAATTTATGACAGAGGGGTTGCCAGATTTTTATAAAGAATTGATGGGTGCGTGGGGGAAATTTTTAACGTGTGTGCATTTTAATACACAAGGAAGAGAGAACATTTTAAACCAGCCTTTATTTTTAAACACCGGCATTCTTTATGAAGGGAAAGAGGTCTTTTTTAGGAAATGGTGGGAGGTGGGAATCACAAGGGTAAGGGATGTTTTATATGAATTCAAAGAAGGATTTTTACCAGTACAGTACGTTGTTGACATGATGGAGGAGGCAAAGGAGGATTTTAACAGAGAGGAACTGATAAAGAAATATGACATAATTAAAAAGGCAATACCTGGAGAATGGATAAAGAGAGTGGAAAATATGGAAGAGGCCAAACAAGAGAAAGATGTGTATGTAAGACTGGGGGAAAAACTGAGTGCTTTTAAAGAATGTACTGTGAAAATGTTTTATTGTTTTTTTAGAGATGTGGTTTTTAAGAAACCGGTTGTAAACGAATACTGGCTACGGATTTTCAATGATGTAAAAGAAGAGAATATATGGGGGAACATAAATGGGAAAATTGTACAGACGAAACTGGAGAATTTGGAGTATTTTATCAGGAACAAAGCAGTGTTCACAGATGTGATTTTAAACAAAATTGGGATGGAGGAAAGTGCCACATGTAAAGTATGCCAGGATGCAGACGAAGGGTTTTTACACTTGTTTTTATATTGTAATGAGCTGAAAGATTTTAATGAGAGATGTAAAAGCATGATTTTAATTTTGAGAGGAGAAGAAAATGGGAACTTTGAGTGGGAAAAGGTGTTAATGTTAGGCATTAATGAGAAATGTAAAAATAAAAAGCTCATTAATTTACTTGTGATGTTGATGAAAAGTGCAGTATGGGAAAGAAGGGTGGTGGTAAAAAAGGAAAATGTTTTACTTGATGTGTGGAATGTGTTTAAGAGAAAAGTTGAGAAATATGTTGAATGCCTGTTTTATTTTTTTAAGTTTGAGGAAATTATGGATGTTTTTTATTGTGTTTTTACTCAGGAGGTCTTAAAGGTTTTAAATGACTTGGGGATTGAATTGTCATTTTTAAAAGATTAAACCATTTAATGACTCCTTTTTTAAATGTTTGTAAGTAAGATGTCTGTAAACTCTTAATTTTAGGAGTTTTATGTCAAAGAAATCATCTTATGTATTTTAATATTTTAAATAATTGATATGTATGTTTCAATTGATAAATTTCTTTAATAAAAAAAGAAAAAAAAAAGAAAAAAAAGTATGCGCCCGATCTCGTTTGATCTCGGAAGCTAAGCAGGTTCAGGCCTGGTTAGTACTTGGATGGGAGACCGCCTGGGAATACCAGGTGCTGTAAGCTTTACCGTTTTCTTCACTAAGCAGGGTCGGGCCTGGTTAGTACTTGGATGGGAGACCGCCTGGGAATACCAGGTGCTGTAAGCTTTAGCGTTTTCTTCACTAAGCAGGGTCGGGCCTGGTTAGTACTTGGATGGGAGACCGCCTGGGAATACCAGGTGCTGT